TGTGTGTGTGTGTGTGTGTTCATGCGTGCGTGCGCCCGTGCCCGTGCGCCCATGTGTTTGTTGTATCTATAGTTTGCCCGGAGTGAGTTTTGAAGACAGAAAGAACGAGAGGAGAGCTAGACTCTACACAATTACATTAACCCTGGGCCATTCCCAAAGGAGGGGGGGGGGTATTTTTCGTTCTAATGCACGGTAGAATTGTAAATGGGCTGATCCAACAACTTCATGCTCATAAATGTGCCTGAACTACAACAGGAAACTGCTGCGTTTTCTTTCCTAATCCTTACTATCGTCATTTTCCTCGACTTCTTTTGTATGTTTGTCACACTCTTGTGACCCACTATTTCCGGGGTGCCATGATAGTCAAAGCAGACTTTGTGCTGTTGAAGAAAGAGAGGTGAGCAGAGTAAGTCTGATTCCCTGTAATGACCTCTCTGTTAACATCCACCCCTTGGCGCCCATATGCAGTTGCGAGCGCCGTAAAATCTCTACTAAAAGAAAAAGAGTTACATTGTTCTTGATGTTGACGTCTGCTCCCAGAAAGAGCAGCCAGTCCACCGCCTGTTTGTGCTTGCCCCGGACAGCGTAGTGAAGCGGCGTCCAGCCGAACTGAGGACACCAGAACAGACATTCGTGATAATAGAATAGGAAAAATAGGGAGGATAGCGCTTCCCACACTCTAGGTAGATTGAAGGAGAAGGGGATCCAAAGAGGGGAAGGGAAACACAGCCATCTGTGCGGACCAGCCCGACGGTTCTCCAACCAGATTATGATGGAGACTATAAGGAAACAGACTCTGGGGTGGATCCTGAAGAGGTGGGTGGGGGGGGGGCAGAGATGGACATGTTCCGACTGCAGTGACCTCAACACAGTGGACAAGTAAGACAAGTAAGTAAATAATAAATAACAAATAGCATTAAAATTTGAAGACTACACGGGGGAAAAACGAAGGTAGTTAAAAATCTGAAAATCATCGTCTTAGTTTACTTGACTTTATCCGTCCTCTTGTACCTCTAGGGCGTCGAGGGGACAAAGAGCTTCCTGTCTCTAGCAAGTTTGATGGCCTGGCTGGGTGGGATATTGTATGTTCTGAGGGTATCCTTCACACCTTGGATCCAGGTCTTTCTTGGTCTTCCTCTTGCCTTGTACCCTGATACTTTCCTGTGGTAGGATTTACTGGCAAGCTGGTTAGGTGCTATACGTGTGAGATGTCCAAACCACCGGATCGTTTGCCTTCGAATGTAGTGGAGGCCTGAAAATCGTGAGGGTGCCAATTTTGAACGCTTGTTGACTCATAACTGTATTTCTGTTCAACTGTTGCTTGATTATTGTTGTTAAGTTTCCCTTTCAACAACACTTAGCAATAAAACACCAGTCAAACAAATATGAAATTACGAGTCCACAAGCTTTTAAAATTGGCACCCTCACATTTTCCAGTTTGTGACTACCGTTGTTTTCCACCTGTGCTCTTCATTCGAATAGCGGATATGCCCGTTCGACGGCAAGCTCTTTGCGCTTTACACACTATAATTATTATTTCCCCAGCAGACCATAGAACACTCAGAAACATTCTCAGCTTCCCGGGAAGCATACAGTGTAAGCAGCTGATTAAGCGGTCAAACACTAACAAACTGACAAGATCTTTCACTGTCTGTAGATAGATATTACTTACTTTCTTTTACTTTTTCTTCCTCTGTTGCCGTAAAGCGTCGTGGGGAGATGCAGGTTTCTAGCTAAACTAAACCACCTATCATGTCACTGTCCCACCACCTCCCCCCCCCCCACGTCTATTTCACCCTCCTCCAACTCCATGCCCGCTCTCCCCTTCCTCAAATTTTAACCCCCCTGCAATCCCTAAATCCACTTTACCCCCCCCCTACCGTGCCCACCCCCTCCAACCACCAAAGTCTCAAGTATAAGTTTTAACAATCACAAAAACCACCACCTAAGTCTAAAGTATAAGTTTAACAAGCACAGAAACAAAAACCACCCCATAAGTCTCAAATATAAGTTTAAGAATAAAAAAGGGGACTACAAGAGATCATGATGATAATATACTGTACACCGAGATTTCTTTTTAGTGCGATCCATTCTTTAGTGCAAT